AAAAAAAAAACCAAAAAAACAAGGGCAACCTTTTTTACCAAGATGGTGCTGAAGGTAAAGGAAGCCTCTGCCCCTCCCAAAGCTGAAGCCAAAGTAAAAGCTTTGAAGGCCAAGAAAGCCATGCTAAGAGGCATCCACAGCCACAAAAAGATACGAACGTCACCCACCTTCTGCTGTCCCAAGACACTGCGGCTCCAGAAGCAGCCCAAATGCCCTCAGAAGAGCACTCCCAGGAGAAACAAGCTTGACCACTATGCTATCATCAAGCTCCCCCAGACCACAGAGTCAGCCATGAAAAAGATCAAGGGCAACAACACACTTGTAATCATAGTGGATGTCAAAGCCATTAAGTACCAAATCAAACAATCTGTGAAGAAGCTATGAAATTGATGCTGCCAAGGTCAGCACCCTAATCAGGCCTGATGGAGAGAAGAAGGCATATGTTCAACTGGCTCCCAATTATGAAGCACTGGATGTTGCCAACAAAATTGGGATCATCTAAACTGAGTCCATCCATCCCTGAGCCTGCCGTGCTGGCCCTGCCCCCAGTGCACACTGAGACATCAATTGAGACTGGGGGGTGCGCCTGAATCCCAGCTCTTGGGAGGCTGTAAACAGGCAGATCACTATGAGTTCGAACTAGTAGTGAGACCCTGAACACCCTGTAGATCCTTACCTAAAAATATACAAAAAATAAGAAATAAACTGAGTCCAGCTGGCTAATTCTAAATACATACTTTTTTTCCCCTGAGGAAAAAAAAAGGGCAAGGAAAATAAAATAAAAAATAGCATTTCAAGAAAAAAGAAGACCAGGGAGATAGCTGAGTGACACAGAACCTGCCTGGTAAACTCAAGGACCTGAGTTTGATTCCTGGTACCAAAAAAAGAAAAGAATACCAGAACCATCTTATATTTTTACCTGATCAGGGTCCTGCAGACATTCATACCTGGACCCTCTGAATTAAGTGACACAGCCAGGCCTGGTGGCACATGTCTATGATCGCAGCACTAAGGAGACTGAGACAGGAGGATCACTGCAAGTTCGAGACCCGCCTGGGCTACAAAGTGAGTTCAAGTTCAGCCTGAACTGCATAGTGAGACCTTGTCTCAAAAAGACAAAAATAAATAAATAAAATAGAGAATTTAGTTGCTAATGACTATAATTAGAAGCTGTAAAAAATGAGTAAAACTAGCAGACTATGATCATCATATTAACATCAGAACATGAAAGTAAAGATCTACCAGCTGTTGTTTTTTACGTGCAAGTAACTAAATTGGGATATGGTTAGTGGAGTGAGCCAACACAGTTGGGGTTCTCTGTATGACGAGAAAAGAATTTCCAGTGTACACTCAATACAGTAGTAAGGTAAGTAGTAAGCAGCTGTTTCCTGAAGATCACGGGGAGTTGTACTTGGGGCAAGTCCACATCACTATTGGGGCAGAGAGAGTAAAAAGGTGCTGCAGTGATAGAAAAATAATAACTCTAAGCACATAAAAGTAGCAACAGCAACACACACACACACACACACACACACAAAAAAAAAAAAAAAAAAGAGGGGAGGGCCTGGGGACATGGCTCAGTAAAATAAACACTTGCCTGGCAAGCTCAGGGTCCTGAGTTCAATCCCCGGTACTGCAAAAAGAGGGGAGCAATAAGTCAGGCTTTCTGACTTTAAAGGCCAGATTCCTCTGCTTAGATGCAACTTCACAGGATGCTCAGTCAGCTCATGGGCTCCAACCCTCATACTTTTTTAAATTTTAATTTTATTGAGAAACAAATATGAATGAGACAGCTTCAAAGCTGATTAATAGGACAGCTTTGATAATCAATACTTTGTACATTGTTATCTTCTTTTAAAATTTTTTTCCCATAATTTTTTTTTAATTCTATATAGTTTTTTATTATGTAGTAACATATAAAAGTGGTATCTCTCAATGTTAACATTTTTTACATGGTTTTATAAATGACAGCTATTTTTATTTATAGTTTATTACAAATCCATTGAACAGTCTGGAATTTACGGAACCAGAGAGCAAGATCATGAAAAATGGTTCAATAGCAAAAATTAGGAGTAAGTAAAATGTTCTATTTTACTTTAATAACTCTCGTTTCCTTTGTTTTTTAGCTTTTTGAGTGTTTTTTAGCCTTTTCTTTTTGAAATTTTTCTTTCTCTTGATGATACTTCTCACATCTCTGTTGTGTAGCCAGTCATCCCGCTCGGCCTCCCACCTGAGCTGCTTGAGACTTGCATCATCCCTGTTAGCCATGGCATTCATGCCAATGCTATCAAATTTGGATCCCATATTTTCATCCAACAGATGGCCGAACTCTTCAGCAGACACAAACAGGCTGGAAGTCACCGAGGTCTTGTTTCTTTTTCTTTCTTGGACCTTGAAATGAGCCAGCGAAGTCAAAATCACCCGCACCTCTTTTTTTATTTTTCTTAGTATTGTCTTTGAAGTTGACTTCATCAAGTTCTGGAAGGCCCTCACTTTCATCATCAGCTACATCCATGAATGTTGCTCCATCTTCATCAATTTCATCAAATTCTTCATTCATACTTCCTAAAGAAACTTCTTCATCATCTAAGTTACCAAATTCATCGTCACTACCCTCTGAATCTTCATCTTCCAAGTTATCCTTATTTCTTTTTGTTTTCTTTTTCATATTGCTTACAAAATCAAGGTCATCGTTTGCAGGAGTGTAACAGTTATCATCTTCAAATGTGTCGATCATCTTTTCAAATTCCTCATCATCCACATCTTCTATACTTTCTTCATCTGCATTTCGCTTTTGTTTCTCTTTTACAACAGCAACTTTTTTATAATACCTA